GGATCGGCCGCCCCTCGCGCGCGGTCGCTGTGGGCTCCTCCTGGCGATCTGAGCGCCGGGCTGCGGTCTGGGAGCACGCAGGCGTCTTCCGAGAGAAAGCAGGTACAAGCCATACGGAAAGGTGGAGCTTCTGCCCCGCAAAAGGGAGGAAGCCAGAGCCGCCCCTTTCGGGGATACTCGGCAGCCGCCGAGGGGTCCCCGTCCGGGTGCCGCCTGATGCAGTGGCGGGGGGCGAGGCCTTGGGCTCCCCTCCGCCCGGGTTTTGAGTTCAGGAAAACGGAGAGCTTTGTGCCTGCAGCTGAAAAGGGTCTGCCTGCAGGCTCGGCTGGGACGAACCCCAGTTAAAAGGAAGTAAGGGGGGTAAGTGCTTGGAGGGAGGGGGCGAAGGGGCCGTCCAGCACGACGCGGTTAAATTGTGTGCAGGGACGTGCTTGGGAACATGCTGAAACGGTGCCCTCCACTTCTTCTTCCAGATACCTGCTCTTTCAGCTCTCCGAAGACATCACCGAAGATGAGCTGAAGTCTTTAAAGTTTCTTTTGGGGAAAGAATTACCAAAATGCAAGCTAAACCCTAAGGCTGTAAGAATTTCTGTAATCCTTTTTTGTTGTGGTTGTTAAAAAACCACTATCATTGTAGTCCACAGAGGCATTTGGGTTGCTCCGAGGGGGATGAGTGTCACTCTTCTTACGGTGAAAGCATCATTAAAAAGGGCGTGTCTGGAAGGGATTATGGGCTCTGTGGTGCACATGGGACTTGTTTGTGCCTGTTAGCGTAGCTGTTGCGGGCCTTCATGTCCAAGCACCATACGGGGCTTGGGGACTCGGTGGCTTTGGTCAGTGATGAGCACATTCATCTTGCCCAAACAACTTGTTTTTTGGCTGCTTTCTAAGCCTTTGTCAAACACCAAAGATGACCCACTGTGGCTATTACTTTACGCTTTCGTTCAGTTTCTGATTTCCACACTCAGAAAACACGAAGCAGCACATCCTTACCAAGGCTACGGCTGAAGAGCTTGGAGTTCACAGATGGCCTTGCAGGAGATCCAGCTGCTCTTACCCTGTTCTCAGTCTGCTGTTCTGACTGCTGGGTACTTTATTCTGTCTAGTGAAAACCCTTTTAGCATTTTCCCTCTTCTTGTAGAGGAGAGACCGTGTCCATCCAGTGATAGCTGTTCTCGTAAATCCTTGGGGCGACCACCCTGCTCTGCCGCTCGCTGTTTGGCAAGAGCTCCGCTCCCTCGGGTCCCCTTTTGCTTGGGAGCAACCTCTACACCATATTTGCCCTTGCTCAAGCTGGTCACTACGGTGATCCCTGTGTTTCAAGTGCACAAGCTGATAGCTGCTGGAAGTCAAATGAATGAGAGCAGTGACTAAAAATGACGTTAGTATTCCTGTATGATCGCCATGAGCTCTCCTGAATTAGATCGTATCAGGTGCTGGCATCTCTCAGCCGTGGAAGTGAAATGAGTTGGTTTTGGGACATTTGTATGTAGAGTACTTTCAGGTTTTGTTGAACCAGGGTAATGGACTCCACTGAGGTCTCAGCTGAGCTACCCGAGTGACTCTGTGGGTCCCTGTGCTGTCAGTACATTAAAGCTTAGGAGCACATGCGGTGCTGCAGCTTCCCTCCCAGTAGCAGCACGGATGTGCCCTAAGAGCAACCTACCTTTCTGATTACCCAGACGATGCTCGACGTTTTCATTGAGATGGAGAGGAAGGGGATTTTGGGAGAAGGCAACCTGAATGTCCTGAAGAATCTCTGTGCAGAAATTAACACCAGCCTGTGGAAGAGAATTGAAGAGTATGAATTCAACCTGTTTGGTAAAACAAAACAAAAAAGCCTCTTTCTCCTAGTTATGCTTGAAGTGACACAGAGGTGTCATGCAGGACTAATAACGAATGCTTTCAGGTGAAGAAGAGATGCTCATCGCAGAGGAACAGAGGGGCAGCACAGGGGGCCCTGGAGATAATTGAAACTCTCAAAAAGTTAATGTTTCGACTTTAGATTTTTTGCTTTTCTTCAGCTTTGGGACTCTCTACACCACTTGCATTACACTTCTTGACACGTGTGCCTCTAAAAAGTGGTCAAGTGTCTAGTTGCTGGTAACTAATCACAATGCATTTTACTGCCTTTCAGTTGATTATCTAGTGGTTTATAGCTAACTTGAACAGCTCCTCAACCGCAACGTGGTGTCTTCAGAGAACAGTTCTACCCTGGGAGGTACTTGGTGGGGAACAGGAACAGAGATTCTCTCTGGTGCTGTGTTCTGTACTTAAACTTTTTTGTCTTTGTTCAGCCCACGCCGCGCGGCTGGCGTCCTCCGTGGCACCCGATGCGCCTGGTGGTTGGAATGCGTCTTCCCAGGTAAGTCAGTTTGCTTCTTAGAACCGTCATTGTTTTGTCTCAGACTCCGTGAGGTGAACAGTTCTGAGCCCAACTCTTAGAAGCACTGTCTAGAAAAAGAAAAATGCTCCACTCTCCCATCCCTTATCCCGAAGCTGAGTCACAGGCAGCAGCTGCTGGAGCGTTACAACCGCACAAGCGTGTGCAGGGGTAGTGAAATAGGCTGAGTTTATTGTACCAGGAAGTACACGGTTGGCAGGGGGCTGGGGACGGAGAAGTGGGTGAACGCAGCATCCCACGTGGGCTGAGCGGGATGACGTGGGTCTGGGGGTGCTGTCATGCTGTGCACAGGCTCCCAGGGGCAGTAGGGCAGCGCATTGCCAGATCCTAGGAGCAAAGCTGCATAGGGAGAGCTGCCTGGAGAGCAAGCCAGCTGGCTGTACCCTGCTGTGCCACTAGCAGGAGCTGGGAAGCACCGGGAGGAGAGTGTGGTAGTTTCACCAATAGTCTTGCTTTTCAACAGCTTGAAGCTTACAAAATGACTAGCCAACCCCGCGGAGTGTGCGTGATCCTGAACAATCACAGCTTTGCGAAAGCCAGGGAAGCAGTGCCGGAACTCAAAAACTTGAAGGATCGGAATGGAACAGACATGGATGCAGGTACAATGAACATTAAAGATGAGTTTGTGTGTCTTCAAAAATAGAAATCTCCTTTCTTTTTCTCTGCTAAAGGTCTGATTTTCAATCTTCCCTTGCTAGGATGCTTTTGTTGTAGTGGCTGACAAACCCCGATGGCCTCCGCAGTCTCTACTGGCTCACTCAGAACAAGTCACTAGTGTTCTGCTGTTTTACGGAGTTCACTGCAGCCGTAAGCAGCAGCCTGAGCTGGGCTTTACAGGCTCGGCCAGTTCTGCGGCAGCCCTCCGCGTGCCGCTTCTGAAAGATGCGCAGAGTTGTTGCTGAACCAGAACTGGGCATTAGTTGTTTAACATCCAACTTAACTTAAAAAAAAAAAAAGGGAAAGGGGATGTTGGAATTTAAGGACTTGATTACACCCCCTGAACAGGGGCCCTGATTTTAGCAAGCTGTCCTGCAGCAGGAGCAGAGCTCATTGCTGTGAAGTATGGGAGGGGGGGAAAGATACAGCTTGCTTAATAGTTCTGTGTGCTTTCCAGACAGAGGTGGTAGCGCCCAGCGAGACTGCGAGGAAGCCTTTTAATGAGAGCTACGGGAACACTGACACCACTAGCTTATTTTCAGAGCAGGAACGTAGCTACCTGGACAGAAGGTAGCAGGATCTAAAAACAGATTGTTTAACTCTAGAAATGCAATTTGCAGTTGCAGAGTCCAACCTTCATACAATGAAACGAACCCAATTCCCCTTCTGTTTGCTTTCCAGCGGCTCTAAGCAATGTCTTTAAAAAGCTTCATTTTAAAATAGAAGAACACAGAGACCTCACTGCGGAGGGAATCCGTAAGATGGTGAACTCCTACCAGTGCACAGACCACACGGACAAGGATTGTTTTGTTTGCTGTGTCCTGTCTCATGGGAAAAAAGGCATTATATATGGTGTTGATGGGCAGGAAGTGCCGATCCGGGAACTGACCACTTCTTTCACTGGACAGAATTGCCGCTCACTTGCTGGAAAACCCAAAGTCTTTTTTGTTCAGGCCTGCCAAGGTGATGCTTCTCAGAAAGGTGTGACCATCGAAACAGATTCTGCAGAGCAAGATTCTTGTGTAGAAACAGATGCAAGACTTCAGCTCAGCTGCATCCCCGCAGAGGCAGACTTCCTCTTGGGCATGGCTACCCTGCAAGATTACGTTTCCTACCGAAGCCCAAGGGAGGGGACCTGGTACATACAGGCATTGTGCCAGCACTTGGAGTACAGCTGTCCTCGGTAACTGTTGTTTCTATGACTGTCTTTTGAGCAACATCTGCATTTTCCTTCTGCATGATGAGACTGATTTGGGTGCTCAGGTAGATGATATGCAGTGGGAGCACTCACCAGTCAAACAGTATGTAGGACAGCAACACCGTGCAGATTGTTCAAAGCAGTTAACTGAATTGCTCTGAGGCCTGTTTAAAACAGGAGCCATTAGCACTGGTATAGATGAAGATGTACCAAATGTGGTAATTTTTCTGATGTTAACTGCCTCTCTAATACAAAACATACTTGTGTTCTTGTAGAGGAGAAGATATTCTCACCATCCTGACAGCAGTGAATCAAGAGGTGAGCAGAAAGAGTTGCAAGCCAAATGCAGAGAAGCAGATGCCACAGCCCAGTTTCACACTGCGGAAAAAGCTCATCTTTCCTGTCCACTAAATGGGAGGGAGCTGCATGGTTGAGGGAGCTGCAGCAGCCTGGAATCAGCTAAGAATCTGGTAAAACATCAGACTCTCAGTGTCTGCCTTACCATAAGGGCAAACGTTCTTACTGAAAACGAAGTTGTGTCTCTGTGGATGACACTTGGGCTGGAGAGCATCTCTGCTGGTCTCCGATTCGTGGTTCGCTAGCTAAAATAGGCGCAGTGCTTTTCAGCTATACCACGCTGCTGTCGCTGTAGTAAGCTGTCTTTCCAGTGCAGACTTTCAAAGTCAACTGTTAGAAAGACCTGTATATTTTATGCCTAACTTTTGCAAAATAAAGGGAGAGGGGTCGCTGCCATTTTTGTAGGATATAATCATCTCTCATCAGTGTTTTTTGTTACCTCTCCACACTTAAAAATCATCCATTTTTCGTATCCTGGTACACCTCAAGGAAAAGTCAAGCGCTTGTCCTCCAGCATCCTCAGCAGGATGTGGCTGTGACCTGCAGTTTAGAGTATCCTCTACACAGTCATTTCAACAGTGACAATCAGTTGCTGAGGTACAGCTTCATGTTTGAAGATGGCGTTACCCCGTGTTCACTCACTCACCTTCCTGATCCTCGAGTCTCAGTTCTATGCACAGCAGAAAAAGAAGTCGCCAGATAAGTATTCAGCTTCCTAAAACCATTTTCGGATTACCTCGTGTGATCCGTGTGCAAACAACAGGGATTTTTACGAGCTCGGAGTAGGAGCTGAAGCGTTGTTAGTCTCTCTTCTGAACGCAGCGTTCGTTCTGCTACACCCTTGTTACAGCTTTCAGCATTAGTAATGGTGTCGGTGATGAGTTAACTGAACAGAGACACCTTCACTGCCATTATTTTAGGAGCCCAAGTCCTTCCCTGGACTCTTGTGCTGAATGCTGCTTCTCTTGGGTGTCTGCAGAAGTAAGGGCAGAGGGGTTAAAGGCACTGAGAACGATGAGAACCTTAACGAGTGGCAGATGCAGCAGGCAGTTAAGAACAGGCAAATCTGTGCTTCCAAATTCTAGCAGTAAGTTACCAAGAGAATTTTTGATGCTCATTTAGGGATTCATTGAGAGTTGTGCCGAAGCAAGGACAGTTCGTATACAGAAGCTTGTCTGTTACTTGGGTGGCAAACAACCCAGCCCAGCCTGAGCGAGTTTTCAGACCAATTTCTGAGCTTTTACTGCCACCACTTGTGCAGATACCAACTCACTAAGCTTGTGTCCACAATAACAACCACTCAATTTTAGCCAAAAAAAGGACTAATTGTAGGTTTATTATAGAACACTTGAATATAGAAAATTACCTATGGAACAAACCACACCCCATGACCAGTATACTGAAAAATGGCATGTTATGCATGTTTATTATCAAATGTACATTCCACTATGAAACAACAGTAAGTGCCAAAAGCAGATGAAAAAAAATACCATGAAGTTACCGGACTGTTCAAACTTTGTGTGTGATCCCCTCATGTAAGAGCCAACTGTGGCCCCAGCATTCTCCTTCCTGCTTGGCTGCTGCTGGACTCCAGGAGACACTTAAATTTGACCACAGGTATTTTGAGCATGCAGGTATTGCTGAGTTCATCAAAGACAGTGAAACTGGAAAGCTATAAATTTGTGCTTGGTTTAAGCCAATCTGAATAAAGGTAAACACTACCAGAATTTCCTTATGTCTCTTGAAACTTTCACAAGCACGGGTAGGTCCTTTCTTTCTAGCATCTGTTTTTGTCTCACACCCACAAGGTAACAGAACCTTTCCACAATGCAGTTCTCCCTTTCTTCTCCTTCTACCTCCTGCGTGCCCAAATCACACTTGCGCAGGATCAAAAGATCTTGTGCGGGATCTCCGCTGTCTTTGTCATGCAAGTTTCTCTCCCCTCTTATGGGAGGCCGTCAGTTCCTGGAATGATGGCAGCTTTCACCATGTTCTCTGAAACACCTGTGTTCTTAAAAAACGTGTACCTTGTAGGCATTAGCACAAACCGGTAGGCTTGGCAGAAGTACCCGTTCTCCCTGCTGCTGCAAGCTAGGCACGTAGCCGCAACACGCGCGGCACCAGCCAAAGGTATGCCTGCATGACAGAACTCCAGCTGCACTGCACCACGGCGTTCACTAGCTGGCTAAACACACAAACACAACGCTGTAGGGATTCTTCCATTCTCTCCTTGCCTTGTGTAAAGCATCCGATCACACATCATCCTACAGCCATCGCCGCAGTATCGTTTGAACTGAACCACTTTATATTGTTACGGAATATGGAAGCATCCCAAAGAGAAACAAGGATTTAATTCATGTGCTTTTAGATGAATTTTAGCTGAAACCTGGTCTGCCAAAGAAATTCCGCTTTAGGTGATTTGCTACGTTTGCTGATAACACACAGAATGGTCCAACGGCTGGCGTTACCTACTGAAGCCAGTTGGAGTGTAATACCTTCAAATTTACCTGTAACTTATATGTATTCCTATAATAAACACATGTGAAAGGGACATACATTTGACATGCTACACACTCTGCTATCAAAGTATCTGACCTTTTGTTATAACTCGTTCCCGTTGTTTCCCTAGAAGTCACAAATGCAGAGCAGACATACCCATCCCAGCTCCCTAGAGAGCAAAATTACCTCCCCCCACTCCTTTCACTCCTATTTAGCTAGGCAAGAGCCCACGCACAGCTAAGTACATACAAACATAAATACTTATATGAAAAAATTAAATACTTGCCCTTTAAAAACCAAAATTAACCCGTATATAGTATTTTAAATAAAATTCACCCTTTACAAGTGTAAGATTCTGCTTAGAGAGCAAAAGGCAACTCCAGGAGTTCCTGAATATTTCTGTGCGCTGCTGACAGGCAAGTTTCTGCTAAGAGTCCCTGTGCGAGTCTGAAGTGGTCACTCCTTTTCCCTTTACAAAAAGAGCGCTATAGCAAAGCGTCGTCACAAGATCTACAGAACTAAAAGCAGAAAGGCCACGTTACACATTTCCTGTAAGCCAGGCTAAGCAGCTTGCTTTTCCTGCCCTACTCACTCAACACGGGTGCTGGTCACGGTGGGTGTGCCTCATGGCAAATGCCAGTCGGTGTCATTGTACCAGCACCTCCCACTGCGCACCCAGAGAGGTACCAGCTGAGTCCCACACCCACTCTAACAAGCAAGGTAAACTTTGACTGGTTTATCTGACTATGGAAACTAAACCTTACAGTGGTTTAACGTGTTGACAGCTGCCGCGACACATTACCTAGAGGCTAAGAGCCTGTCTCCATTCCAGTCACTAGCAGAGACCCATTCCTCTGAGGAATTCTGGGCAAACTTTTTTATGTTACACTATGAACCTATTGTAGATGATTCAGTTAGGACTAGAACCTTGGACAGGAAGGAATCCCAAAAGCAGCCTGGGCAGTATTATTTTGCTGACTACCACTCAGATTACTAAAACAGACTTCTGAGACGGAAAGTTTGCCTCGGCTTTGTTCAGAATCAGGTTGAGAACTGTCCTCCATCGTCCAAACACAGGATTTCCATACAGACACAACTGAATGTTCACGAACATGCTACAGAGACCACTAGCTTTCATCTTCCTCTTTCCAACGATGGACGGGTAATTTTGCTCTTAATGAAATCTTTTCAACAAAATCCTGTCTAAAATCAGAAATAAGGGAATGAAAGTCAGGAAGTTTTCTGCAGAACTCTCAACTATATGTAACGCCTACCCGTCAAGAGTCGGGTTGCTGAATTTCTGACACTTGTCAGGAAGTAAATGCTCTCGCCTTACGTGAAATGAAAGGAAACCCTGAATCAAGCACCTTGGGTTTGTTTCCTTTTGCAACACTGAAACGTGCCTGAGACGGTTCATTTGTGTGCGCAAAGATAACCTCCTTTGGAAGGATTTCTTAGCTTGAAGTTTTCGCCCTAATCCATGCCTTCCTGCTTCTTAATTCTTACCCACTGCACCTTCCTCCGTGGGCTTCAGAAGTGCTGGAAAAAAATTAACTTCTGTTAATACCTCGCTAGCACAACTGCACTCTTTCAAAATCTAAACCCTGACCACCAGTTTATGTGTTGATAAACTGAAGCACTGTTTTCTTACACAGAATTAAAGGCTCCCAAAGCAGGGAGGAGTTCGAAAGAGTAGTTTCTGAAATGGCAAATACCAGAATTAAAAAAAAAATAGAAATCCAGGTTTTCGTACTTGCTTGCTACAGAGAGAACTTGGACCAATAACGTTGGTCAGGTTGACTGTTATTTTCATGTTACTTTTAAATGATACAGCCTGACTGCTCACAACTAGTAAAGTACTAGGGTTGCGTGGTGGAAAGATAGAACAGCACCTGTAAGACAGTTCTACACATCCCGCTGAAAAGGTTAAAACACCAAGAATGTCTCCAGTGGTATTTTATTTTTGCTTAAGACAGATGCTGAAGGGGTCTCAAAACTAAGCTTTGGTTTCTTCTTTCTTATCTTCCACAAAAGCCGCCTTCCTCACACCCAAGCAATGTTCTTTCTCTCCTTGATCCCAACGCTTCTCTCCCACATCTTTAACATGCACGTGCCTTCTCCAACTCTTCTGTAGCACATCTAACGATGCCTGTACTGGATGTTTATCCCTCATGCATTATTCACTACGCTAGAAGTCGACCATTTTTCAGACCAGTCAGTCCTCCTTTAGGATATCCATTTTTGATGACTGTGTGCAAACTGGAGCTCCCAGTGCTCCAATCATGGCTGGAAGACTCTGGTTTCTTCTCAGTCCTGCCATTAAGTTGCTACCTGCATTTAAAAACAGAGCAGAGTCCTGCCTCCGCAAGCCAGCCTCTGGCCCCTGACTCTTCTTGTGCTCCTGTGCCTCAGGGGGCTTGATCACCCTGGCAATGCCCAGCCTCTTCAGTCTGTCCACCAGGTTCATCTTCAGCTGGCCTACGTCTGGAGCGTTCCGGGAGGGTTTCAGCCCATACATTTCTTGCAAGAATGTTTCTGCTGGTCGAGAAGCCAGGAAGTTTTCCGAGTGATGCACTCGAGGCTCCAGCGGTGGAGGGGA